TGGGGCCGCGGATTGCAGACCTCATGCCGGCGGACGCCAGGGAAGGGCGTCCTCCCCCGACATGCCTGCGCCGCGACAGAAAAATCAGCACGGAAGGTCGTTGGCCGTTTTCGGCCTCCAGCCGGCTCGGGGCCGTCCAAAAACGGCTCGGGATGGAACACCGACCCTGGAGAAAGGGTCGGGATTTCTAAAGAACCCCTTTACGGAAGCACGCCGAAACATCGGATGCCTGGGTGTCGTTGTCGTTGCGTCGTCATCGTTGCGTCGTCGTCGTCGTCGGCGTCGTTGGGGTCGGGACCAGCTGCGATCCAGGAGCGTGTGGGGGCGGAGGGATGAGGCAGGAGAACGAGCGAGGAAGAGGAGGAGGAGGAGGAGGAACATGAACAGGAGGAGGAGGAAGAGGAATACTAATTATAATCGTAATCATAATACGAGTAAGAATGAACACACCAAAAATGATATATATTAAAACGTACAACGGTAAAACGAATAATACTACTATGGCTAATATCAGGGGGAGAACCGTATAATGTCTGTCCAATAACACGGACAATTCTAACAGTAATACTCGTTCGAACATGACGAATGATTGTATCATTGCGAAACAGAAGAAAACATAGAGTAATTGGATCATAGGAGTAGTAGTAAGAGCACTAATCATATCTACAAGTCATAAGGGTATTCATTACACGAAGAGTTTTAATCATGATGGCCTAGTAGTAACATCAGTCGTAATACTAGTATTAGGGATAATGATTCGAAGAAGGGGGCGAACAGGAAGACGCTGATACTAATTAAAGTAATGAACATACCGGGAATAGTGTTGATTACAGAGCATAGTAATTTATGAAGGCGAGCACTGGTATTAATAATACTACTTGTGATACGACTTGTAGCAATAACAAGACCCCCCAAACTGATATTACTACGGGTAGTCTTATTACTCGTAGTGGTAATCGTACTACGACGAAGAATAACCATACATATAAGCAATGCTAAACATTTGACGAGTAATAAGACGAATGCCACGACGGCGACGAACATCTATATTTGTAATGACAATGTTAATGTTAGGAATCATACTAATACTACGGATCCTGATGTTGTGAAGAAGAATCGCAATTAACACATCATACAAATAAACTCATAACTAATACTATTACGAGTACCAAAATGACAATGCGATGAACAAGCATACGAGGACGAATAATGATAAGACTAAGCAGGATAGCGCACATAGAACTACGACGAACGATGATGATACGACCCCGAAGACTGACATTAGTACTAGTGGTAATGGGAGTATTGTAATCATAATC